TAATAAGAAAATTAATTATAAACAAAAAATAATTTAACATAACAATATTACAGTTTCACAACAACAACAATACTAATAATACTAGTAATAGTGATGATAAGAGTTTGATTAAATGAAAGAAAAGTATTATGAATAATTAAAATATAAATAAAGTTGGATGATGATGTAATCATTGAGTTATGATGAATAATCATTGGATGATGATGTAATCATTGGTGGATTTAGACCCTATTTATTTAGGAATTACACCCCATCATTTTATCTTATAGATTAATTATGACTAATGATTAACATCAAATATTATCTCTCATCTCATTTTGACATGGATAAATGTAAAATAATAAATTAATAAGGTGACTATTTATTAATTGTGATCCGTTAGTTATTATTCAAAAGTTTAGGATATATGCTTGCAATGTAATTACGGCACGTTTTATGGGCACAAAAGTTATTGGATTAGTGCAAACTTTTTATAATAAAATTTTATTTAATATTAGGAAAATTTTCATAATATATGTTTGGGTAATGCAAAAGCCAAAATAAAAAAATAACTGTGAGACATAAAAAGTTTTAAGGGCTGAAATTTATTGTTTTGTATACGCTCATATAATTTATTGTTTTGTAAACACTCATATAATTATAACTAATAGTGTAAAAAATAAACAATTAAAAAAAAGTAAAAACATATAACAACTATAATAACTTTAGTAAATAGAGAGTAAAGATTACAATCACGAAAATGTTAAATTTGTCGACTTGAATACATGTCTTCCCATGTAGATGCCCTATCAATCCTATACCTCCTCCATTGTGGGTGAGTTGACGGTATTGGGCAACTTTCTCGTAGCAATAGATTAATGAAATGACTCCCCCCCACACGTGCAACAACTATGGGACCAGTTGATTCTGACTCATGTGGATCGGACCAAAGCGGAAAGCATGTAGAACTACCTACCATGGATATGAATACAACCGGTCTCCTATAAAATGAAGCGATAACTAACCCTGTATCTGGCATAGACATCCATTTATCCATTGGGGCAAAACCAGTTCCCGAAAAATCCACGGTCTTCCAAATGTAATTAAAGCCTATAGAAGTCAATATATCCGTGTAATCTTGCTCGTGATACCTTAACTCTTGTAACAACTCTTGTCGAATTACAAGCCACATATTTCCATCGAGACCAAGGCCGACGGCAACTGACCGGAATCCACAGTTTCCATCACCTTTGACATTATTTAAACGTCTGATATAGCGATGAAAAATATTTGGAATATGATCGAGTAAAAGGTTTGTCACAAGTTCTTGGTTTAAGTTTGGGACTTCCATAGATTCTGAATAATTATATCGATGGGAATCTAAGGTTGGCGGAACAAACTGGTTTGTTTCTAGAGTATAATCAAAAAAATTAGTCGGCTCTTCATTTAAATCCACAAACAGACTATGTCTCGTCGGCTCCTTATTTAGATCTGGGATCGGATCGCGATCATAATTTGTTTGATAGTTTGTGTAACAACTATGTCTTTCCAGTTCAACGTTCAAATCAACCCCAAAAAACCTCGCTGACTGGCTACGTGTTCATGAATCTTTACTCTTAGGAGGAGCATGTCTTTGTTGTTGTTGTTGTTGTTTTTTCAAACTTCGTCGTCCACGAGTGTTTCACTTAACCGTGGGCGGTTTCATGGTAGTTTTACTTGGATTGAATATGTCAACCAACTTTCTTAGGAAACTTCTTTTTCCAGCTTCAGACTGCTTGTTGAAATGCTTTTTAAAATGGTTTACTACAGCGTCACAACAAATATTGTCACTTTGGAAAGATGTTACCGGTGAAATATTTAGCGTTCTCCAGAATATATCTATTGAATCCAAGGGAATACACTCTCCTGCATATACAAATATAATATAAAATTTAAAACTATTAAATCAATCATGAGTAATTGTATATACGAACCTGAATTTACGTACAATGGAAGTCTGCAAGCACACGGTAACCCACAACTGCTATGTAGTTGACAACAACAAGTTGAGGAATCTAGTTGAAAACCATTCGACCGATTAATCTCTTCACAAACAAATCAAGAGCTTCATTTGAGACGAAACCCCGTAGTAAACTGAAGCATGGTATATTGTGTTTGTGATAACGAGAAATTTCACTTCTCCCAAAACTTTCTTTGATTGCCACGAGTTGTGACTCTACGATCTTATTAATACAAACAACAAATTTATCCAGAGTGTAACTTTGATGATACATGTAATTCTTGAACTTAGCATGTTGGCTCTCAACTCTGTTGGTAGTGCAATTTCCAAAGTTCAAACATTGGTCAATCGAAGCAGAGACAAAATGGTTTTTATATTTGTCCAACCAGTTATCATGTACGTATCTTAAAACACCTGAAATGATAAAAAAAAACAAGTATTAGAAAGAAATATAAATATTTGATAGAAAATTAAATATTATATAGAAAAATAAATATTGTACAGAAAAATAAATAATGTAAAAGACTTACGGGGGTATTTTGACAACACTGTTCGAAGTTTCTCATAGTTTTCCGTGTACGATATCCATGTTGGAGAATCTATAAGTAACTTCCACGCCGATTGAAAAAGGTTCCAATCACGTTGCGACCTAATAGTTTGTTTGCAATTCTTCAAAATATTTTGACCGATATGCCATCTACAAAGTAAATGATTGGCGTGCAGAAAAACTTTTTCGCACACTTTCATGAGAGCCAACTCTCTATCCGTTACTATAACACGTGGGTGCATACACTCATTTAGCGTCACATTTAGCTGCTCCAATGCCCATTTATAATTGTCCATATTTCTTCACTTATAAAAACAAAAGTTATGCAAAAGGTCTTGCTGGTTGATGTTACACCAACGATTTGAACAAAAGGCATATTATATATGTTTGTCTTGTACGTGGCATCAATAATCAACACCTGTGGGAATGCACACCATATCTCATAAGATGTAGGATGAACAAAAAATAAAGCTTGCAACTCGTTTGTAACTGGGTGTGTATAAGGCTGATAAACATAACGATGAATATCCAAAAGTGACATAAGAACTTGCATTGGTGTTTTCCCGCCTTTCTCGTGCTTGCGAATTTTCTTTTGTGCCTCATATATTGTCGGGAGTGTTGACAAGTTAGTCTTATCTCGATCCTTTAACATTGATAGAATTTCACGTGGTGGCACACTCTTCGACGTCAAATCTTCTACCAAACGAAATTTATCATCAGATAACCGTCTTGCGTATGCATGACCCTCTAGATTCACTGTAGAATGATGGTTATGTTGGTCACATACCACTCTTATCGTCCAATAATGATGTTCCAATGAATATTTTGCTACCAACTTAAATAGACAATCTGTCTTTTTGGAATTAGTATTTGTACTTGATCCTGATCCGCTAGGTTTATTACCACGGTCACACATAAAAACCAATTTATTTGTGAGACCATTTTTGTATTGTTTTGATCTTTTTGTGACAATGACATAACCAAGAGAATATGCCGTATTTTTCACCCAATTCATCACATCTTCACGAGACCTAAAAACCTACAATTAAATTTATTTTTTGTTAATGGTGAGGTGACAAGTATTAATTTCACTAAAATAATATAAATATTTATTATTTATGATTTATTGTACCTGATCGGTATAAAATGGTGATGTCCATGTAGAAAATTGAGCGTCTTCCGTTCCATAAAAATAATGAGCGTCATCAACACCTAGATTGGAGTTGTCTAAATCTACAATTAAATTTATTTTTGTTGATGGTGAGGTGATATATATTTTTGTTGATGGTGAAATGATAAATATTAATGACAATTTAAAATTTAGTGTACCTGGTCTATATAGAATGAGGATGACCATGTGGAAAATTGAGCTTCTTTCGTTTTATAAAAATAGTGAGCGTCATCAACACCTTGATTTGAGTTATCTTCGTAAAAAATGACATTTCCTGCAATAATAAAAAATTGAGTTATTTTCGAAAGTTTAAGTCTTTTGCACGACGTAGTAATAAAATGAAAATTCATTATTATCAAAATGAAACATAAACATGGTTAAGTATTTGAAAACTACTTTTACACTTCACGGAAGCTTTACTTTTCATCATAATAGCCAAAGTAAAAAAAAATTAATCAATTAATAATAAAATATAAAAGCCCAATATATAACCCTAAAAATCTACAACTTCCTCATTTTCCCATCCATACTCCTTCAATCACCATTTTCTCTCAAAAAAAATGTTCTTTAAAATTCACAGTCCAAGCCCAAATCATCAAAGGAGCTACTGAAAAAGGAATAAAACTAAACCATATTCATTGTTCCTCTGCCGCTGCTCCTCCGCCGCCGCCGCCGCTCCTCCGGATTGTGGTTGCACTAAATGGTGTTTAGGGATTGTATTGCTTTGGATTGTAGCTGCACTAAATGGTGTTTGGATTGTTGCTTCGAGACTGTGATGAACAAGATGTTTGGATTCGAAATGTTTGGTTTCTGTATTGCTATGAACTGGGCTGCACTAAATGGTGTTTGGAATGTTTTTTCGGGATTTTTTGCACCACGTATACAAATTTCAGTATACAAAATTTGGAATGTTTGGATTTTTCGAGTTGCACACTGTATACAAAATTCAATAGAGGTGAAATAGTTATACAAACTGTGTTGTGTAGTTAAAAAATATATTACTTTTTTTTGTTGATTTGATGACTGAAATTAAAAATATGATTATGCAAGTTATTTATAAGGTAATTTATATTAATTAGCAGTTAGTTAGTAGTTAATGACAAACCTTTATTTTTTGTTTATTACCGAGTAAAGTTTTGTTGACCAGTGTATAACTTTTTATTCATGAAAATCATCATTTTCAAGTTTCTGAGTTTGACTAGACTAATACTTTATAGGGATAATAAAAAAAATAAACTGATAGGGTATTTTGGTGGGGTGCAAACCACAGGACCCTATATATATATATATTTTTTTTGTGGGGTGCAAACCACATGACCCTATATATATATATATATATATTTTTTTTTGTGGGGTGCAAACCACAGGACCCTATATATATATATATATATATATATATA